ACGGAGCACGGGTGGCATGATTGCCCACTCCGCCTCCCGCATGAGGCAGAAGACGCCAAAGAGCAGGCGCACGCCACGAAGGGACCCACCACACAGGCATGGTTCACGCAGGTCCAGGTAGACAGCAGTGAGCTGGAGGACTTCGCGATTGTTATCGGAGACGACACGCAAGCGCACAAAGAACCTGCTGCGGCGCCGCACGAGGAGCGCGCCGCTGGTGAAGAGCAGGAGCAAAGGCCTGCTGCGGTGCAACTCGAGGAGCGCGCCGCTGGTGAGCCGCCGGTGCAAACGACGCCTGCCGCAGCGATGGGAGAGGATCTCGTTGCCACTACTCACCTTCAGGCGGTGGAGGCGCCTGATGCAACAGACATTATTGCGTGCACCAACGTGTTTCAAGTGGAAAAGGTTGTTAGTGACACGACCGTATCCATCGATACCGCAGCGTCTGGCCACATGGCCGCACTGAATCGCGCATGGCCAAACACGAACGCGACCCGACTGACTGCGCGGTGCGCATTGTAGGATCGTGTGGTACGTCGATTGCCACCAAGAAGGGTACGCTAGAGTTTAAGATCCGAAATTCTCAAGATTACGTCATTCCGGTAGCGTTGGAAGTTCTGCTGGTTCGGGACCTGGGAGCGAACATCTTTCGGTCGGAGCACTGGGCCAGCAGGGGGTGAAGTGCGATCTTCTTTCGTCTACTCCGGCCCTCATTCACGGTACGAATACCTTTCCCATTTCAACCGAAATGCCGCGGATGTATGTCATCAACGTCATATTGGATGACGTGGACGGACCGCAAGCCCAGCAGGAAATTCATCGCACCAAGGTAGACGCGCACATGTGGCATCGGAGGATGGGTTATTGCAACCCGCGCGCGCTACAGCAGCTCTCGGACAAGGAGCCTACAGGCGTGAAATTCAGCCGCAACATCGAATCCGGTGACTGTGAGGTCTGTGCCACCTCAAACACTAAGAAAATCAGTCACCCTCCATCTGACCGCCCACGCGCTCAGACACGGCTCGAGATCGTGCATGTTGACCTGTGGGGGAAGCATCCCGTCGAGTCGTACGAGGGTTGCCAATTCCTCGTGATATTCACGGATGACAAGTCGCGGATGAGGTGAGGGATTCCAATCAAGAGCAAAGACGAAGCTGCTGAGGCGCTTCAAACGGTTGTCCACGATGTCGCTGATCCTGAAGGTCTCTGCATCGGTAATATACAATGTGATGGGGGAGCTGAGTTCAAGGGGAGGTTCCAGACACTGTGCGAGTCACTCGGGATCATTATTCAAACGAATGCCCCTTACATCCCTCACGGAAACGCCATAGCTGAGCGCGATTCGGCACCATCATCGGTACTGCTCGCAACCTTCTCCTGGGGGTGTCTCACCTTCCGGCCCAGCTGTAGGGTGAGACCGTCAAAACTGCGGTATACATCAAGAACCGCATGCCAACGGATGTCTTGGACGGCAAGGCACCGTTAGAGGTATGGCAAGCAACTTGGCAGTTTGTCACACATTCATGAGTGGGGATCGGTAGCGTTTAAACACGTACAGGCAAGATTCAGGCCGAACAAACTGGCCGCCAGGGCGAAGAAGGTGTACCTGGTGGGATACAGCACTCACAACAAGACGTACCGGCTGTGGGACCCTGCCGATCCACGCAAAATCACCAACTCAGCAGAGGTCTCATTTCGCGAGAAAGAGACGCGCGACGTGGCCAAACCCGAGAAAGGACACGACCCGCTTCCTGACCTGAGTCAAACAGTTTACCAGCCTGGCTCTGTCGAGATGAAGAAATAGACGCGGATGCAGAAGCAGCAGGACCGCAACAACCAGAATTACGGCGGAGCAGCAGGACCCCAGTGCCGAGGCAGGTGCTGAACCTGCATACGACGGAGGAGGCGCTGCATACGACGGAGGAAGCGTCCGAGAGGATCGAACATGCTATGCTGACTGGCGGCGAGCTCGGAAACATGGGGACGGGCAGCCCTGGTGAGGTGGGCTACATGCCTTCCGACCCCGCGACCTACGACGAAGCGGTAAGCGGACCGGATTCAGAACTCTGGAAAGCGGGCATGAGCGACGAGGGACAGTCGCTATATGAGCATGACGTATTTGACTGGGTTGATCCGCCGGAGGGTGTTCCACTGATTCCGTCGAAATTCATGCACAAGTGGAAATACAACCAGGATGGTGTACCGATTCGCCCGAAACGCCGCGTAGCGGTGCAAGGTTTCATGAAGCTTATACGGGAGCGGACAAGGCAGCACCAGTGGCGTCTATGGAATCTGTTCATCTCGTGATTGCTATAGCTGCAAATCAAGGTCTCGTTCTCAAGCAAGCTGACATCAGGACGGCATTCCTCCATGCCAGAATCCCCGAAGAAGCGGAACCCATCTACATGATAAGGGTTTCCAGTGTTCGTCGGAACAAACTAGACAGGTCTGGCTACTGAAGGCGTGGCTTTACGGTCTACGCCTATCCCCGAAGGGATGGAATGGCACGTTTCACGAGTACTTGCTGGATTTCGGATTCATACAAAGCACGGCGGACCCCTGCCTATACGTCCTGAACGGGGGGGAAGTCATTCTCCTTGTTTATGTAGACGACATCCTGTTCACCGGAACCGACTGGGATCAGGTATCGACGGTAATAGAGCAGCTAAAGGAGCGGTTTGATACGGTGGACCTAGGGGATGCGAGGTTCCTCCTAGGAATGGCCATTGAGCGAAGCGTTGAGGCAGGAACGATTCTCTCAACACAGGAGGTGTACACCAAGGCCGTCCTTGCTAAGTTTGGCATGGTAGATGTCACCCGACGAAGACTGCGGCTGAGGTTGGGACGATAAGTGTCGTGAAGGGAGAAGCACTGTCGCCAGAGGACACCACGATGTTCAGGTCAGCCACGGGTTCGGCCCTCTACCTGTGCAGGGGATCGAGGCCGGAGATCGCCCACACGGTGTTGGTGCTTACCAGGAGCATGGCCAAACCAGGCCCGAAGGCGATGGCCAAACTGAAGCGACTGCTCCGGTACCTGAAGGGAACGAGCTCCATTGGGACAACGTACGGTGAAGACGCTGCACAAGGGAACCTGCTGACAGCATACGTTGATTCCGACTTCGCGGGCGATGGAGATGACCGTCGCTCGACTACAGGCGTTGTTCTGTTTCTGGCAGGTGAACCAGTGGACTGGAGGTCAGTTAAGTAAACGGTGGTGGCCCTCTCCTCGGTGGAAGCAGAGTATGTCGCGATGTCCAAGGCATGCACGATGATCATCCACTACCACCGTAATCGTCTGAGCACCATCAACCAGACGCAAGCGGAGGCGACGAGGATGTTCGAGAACAACACTGGCGCGATCTCGACTAGTGCAAACAACAAGATCACACCGCGTACGAAGCACATAGACATCAAGTATCATCGTGTAAGGTCGCTTATCGAAGACAAGATAGCCGCAGTAGGGTACATACATGGAGTCTGACGCGCAGAAAGCTGACATTCTTACAAAGAGTTTGGGTGCGGTGAAGTTTTTGAGGAACCGCCTCTTGCTCGGAGGAGTGTAAACACCTCCCCTCTTCAAAATCGGACTTTATATCTTGAGGGTTGGACGGTGTATGTGTGAATATGTGTTGAAATATATTCGGGAGAGTTTGTGTTGTAGGAAGAAAACGCATCGATCGCTTTTGGATGGCAGCTGAATGAAACAATTAGATACGGATAATGAGTTAGAAGTTCTTTAGACAGCGTTGTTTCGAGAGGACACAAATGTGTGTCGTTCGAGCGGTCTTATGCATCGGAACTGTAGAATGACGTAGTTCTTGAGAGAACATGTTGGAAGTGTTTGTAGTACAAGAACGGCTCTATTCTACTGCATTGGGTTTGATGCAGTATTGTGAAGGCGTTGCCAAGTCTGTAACCGTCAGGTGAAGACAGCTTGGGCGTCTGTGTGAAGATAATAATCACTCTGTGTTTCTCTACCCAAACCTCAGCCACACACGCCACCCGCAGCGTACCACAGCCGTTGCACTGCTGGTTTAGTTGTAAGCGTACTGCTGTTATCATACATAAGCCTTTGGAACATCACATGATTGATGCTTCGGGGTGGCGTCGGTAAACATGTGCAAGTAGAACCTGCAACCGCTGAAGATATGGCTCAATAGAGGATGGCCCGCCTGTGAGGCTAGAGTAAACTAGGTAAGCCCGCGTTGCTGGTAACAGGTAGTCTATTGTGCTGTACTGCCTATTGTTTCGCTACGAGTGAGTTGGTCACAATCAAACCAAGCAAAGAAATTGTTGCAACTGTTTAATTGTGCCAGAGGAGGGAATCCGGTCTCGGCTTGAATGCAAAGGGCATTTATCTCGGCGGGGTACGTATATGAACGATGAATTCACCTTCAACTAAGGTCTTTAGCAACGGAATGACACCATTAGACTATTAATCGTGCTTGCAGTCAACCGTTGGCTGTTCTCTATTAGTTTGATTTCGGCCGCTAAAGGGCACGGACTTGCACGGTGCAGAAGACATACGGCGGCAGTAGGCGGCACCGACGCCGTAGTAGATTCTCGTTTCCCACGTGTTTCGCCCTGGCTCATGCTACTAAGGCCAGGCCGGTTGCTGAATTCACAGGGAAATGTGTTAAACGGTCATCATGCGCATGAAGATCAACACCCCTGGGCACCTGAGCTTTCCTTTCAAAGCAGGTATCACGCAGGGAGGAACATAGCAGTGCCGCCCTTGAAGGGGCGCACACCATTGCCGCGGGCCATAGCTGCTTCCCCAGTGGAATGTAAACTACTCGACGAGGGGAGCCTTAGGCCTCGTGCCCGTGTCGGGTGGTCACACGCTACATTTCTTAACTGCTATTTCTTAAAGGTCTTTGAAACGATTGCGAACACACTAACAGGAAACCAACAGAGTCACAGGCTCGCTATCTAGTCCTGCCGTGCCGTTCGATACCCATGCAAACTTGGAGCGCATCAACCACAACCATACACTACAAATAGCGTGTTTGACAACATTTCGCTCTATCGCATTTCCACGCAATCAAATACTTACCAACAGCAAGGGACGCCTTCTCTCAAACAAAAGACACAACACTATTCTAAAAAATCAACTTTGCTATTATTGCACAAGGTTAGCAGTAGCCACCTCTTGTGAATACGTTGTACACGGCATAGGTAATCTTGTCGTTTGCTCTCGAGGACAACATGCTTGCGAAAGGTTGCTTTGAGAGGATATCCACGCGTCACATGCTCGCTATCTCATCCTGCCGAGCCATTCGTTATCCACACAAAACTTGGGCCAAACTCACCAGAAGCATAGTCTAAGGTCAACGCATCTAGGTACGTTTCGCCAATATTTCGCTCTCATCGCACATTCCACACGATCAGATCCTTGCCAACAGTGAGGAATGCCACCATTCTCTCAAACGAAAGACTCAACAACTAATCTACACTTAAAAAGTCAGCTTTGCTATTGTTGCACCGGGTTAGCGTAGCCATCTATTAGAAACACCTTGTACACGACATAGGAAATCTTGTCGTTAGCTCTCGAGGACATGTTTGCGAAAGGTTGCCTTGAGAGGATATCCACGCGTCACATGCCCGTTATCTCATTCTGCGGAGCCATTCGATATCCATGCAAAACGTTGGCCACACTCACCAGAAAGCATAAGTCCACGCACGATACCATTTTCGACAACATTTCGCTCTCATCGCGTTGTCCACACGATCAGATCCTTGCCAACAGTGAGGAATGCCACCATTCGCTCAAACGAAAGACTCAACAAAGACAAAACAAAAAAGTCAACTTTGCTGTTATTACAGCAGGTTAGCTGTAGCCATCTATTGGAAGCACGTTGTACATGGCACAGGTGATCTTGTCGTTTGCTCTCGAGGACAAGATGCTTGGGAACGATCGCCTCAAGGAGGCATCAGGGCGTCCCTCTTCTCACTTCTCTCTCCTCACGAGGGTATTATTTCTATCTACCGTGAGAACATATACACCGAAGCGGCCCGGCAGTATTTCGAGGCCGAGCCGCAATCAGTACTTCGTTGTCGGTCAGTCATTGTTGATGTCATCTAGTCCAGCGAAGATCAGGAGACTTTCCAGTTGCTCGATGTTCTCGGCTTGAAGCTCCTCTCCGTCACAGTTGTGCCCGATAACCTCGGCAGCTGTAGATCCAGCCGCGGACGTAGCCGCCGCGTCTGCCCCGAACCTTAGCAGAAGCTCCACTACTTGAGCATCTGCGTTGGACGAGGCCGAGTGAAGAGGCGTGCATCCGTTCTCGTCCGCAGTCTGGACGTTTGCCCCGTGGGCCAAAAGCGCCCGTGTGGCCTCGCGTTTCCGGAACCGACACGCCAGGTGGAGAGGCGTATACAACTCTTCCCCCACCGCTTCGATGTCGGCGCCAGCCCGGATGAGAACGTCGACCGCGCCGGATTGGTCAAATGTTGCTGCGTGATGGAGGGCTGTTTCTGCGTCAGCATCGACAGCGTCCAAATCCGCTCCGTGATCTATCAACACTTTGAGCACATCCACGTGGCCTCCATCCGCAGCTCGGTGCAGCGCCGGCTGGTACGGACAGTCCTTGCTGTCCACGTCCGCGCCGTGGCGGAGCATGGTCCTCACGACGTGTGCGTGGCCGTGGCAGGCAGCCAGTTCGAGCGGCGAGGGCTCCCTTCCGCAGCGAAGGTTAACGACGTCGTTTTCGATTCTGGGGTTGCGATGGTTCGCCGCCAGAATCGCGAGGACGGCTTGCAGGTGGCCACCTTTGCAAGCTAAACCGAGGGGAGAAAGACCGTCGCCGTTGAATACGCAGGGACAAGCTCCGAGTGCTAATAGGACCTTAACTGCGGCCGCCGCGCCTTTTTCGGCGGCGATGTGGAGGGCGGTCGATCCGTCCATGTCCCGTGATTCCAGGCTAGCCCCCGCGGCAACGAGGCATTGCAGTAGGTCCACCATGTCTTCACTGGAAGCAAGGTGCAAAAGTGTCACGCCAGTAGAAGCTGCGCCATCCATGTCCGCTCCATGCTTGGCAAGGACCCCTACGACATCCACATGCCCGTGGCGAACGGCTAGCTCTAGCGGAGAGCAGCTCTCCGAGTCGAGAAAGGGGCTCACCCACGCCCCTCCCGAAAGCAAAGCGCCCGCCGTTTCCGCGTGGCCATACCTTTGTTTTTAGCATTCAAAGTGCACAAGACGCGGACGCCTTGAGCGGTTTTATCTCCTGAACAGTGGAAGGGTTCAAGGTTAGGTCTTACCTCAAAGACTTCTACAAGTGTCTTTGTACTCCTGCTTTCCACGCATAACAGACCTTACAATCTTAATTTTGTACCTTGAAGTCATGCGTCGGTGTGTGCTGCATGTCTGTCGTATGTCGTTGCTATTTGAGGCGTCAAACAACGCACCTGGCTGCGACGTGGAGAGGGGTGCGTTGTTTCCTGTCTGGCAGATTGGGGTCAGCCCCGTTTGACAGTAGCAAGCGTACCAGGTCTACGTCCCCCCGCGCTCCAGCGATATGAAGAGGAGCATCGCCATTTCTATCCCTGTGCCGGACGTGCGTGTGGATCGTGAGAAATAACTCGGGACCAATTGAAGGACGCCTAAATGATTGTGGGCGAGGGTCAGATGTCACCCTCTGTACATTGCCTGCAGTCTACACGAAATAACAACGCGACGTTCGCACAGGAGGCGTGAACGTGGTGTTCACCTGCAAAGATTTTATCGGAAACGTTTTTCTAACATTTCCTTACTACGGCAGTTCGTGGGAGCAAGGAGTTGAAGGTGTATCATTCAAAAAATCTAGCAGTTATCGTGTCAGCTGCTACAGTACACAACAGCAGCAGTGTGGACGAGTCAAACAAAAGCAAGACGATATAGACATATACATCGTAGCTCTATACTCCACACATGCCGTCGTCCGAACCTAGGAAGTCGCTACGTAGGTGTGTGCTGGTGTGCTGGTGTACTTGTGTGATCGTGGGCGAAAACAGGAGCTCTAGTGGGATGGTAGGGCTCACATGATGGGGGGTACAGAGAAGTACAGAGATACAAATACCAGCTATGGCCCTTCACTGGTCATCTGATTGATAATTCACGGTTATAAGTTGTTGAGGCAGCGATGTAGACGACTGATCATTTCGAGGTCTACCAGGCCACCTGCCCTATCGGCCGCAGCGTGACCACCCATCACCCCTTCCATGACTGTCGGTGGCCACCAACCTGTCGCGGGCTGCCCGCATGCCCTATAGGTGGACATAGCCGTTGCTTCTACAGAAGTACGCTGCTGTCTTTTGCTGCGCTTTCGTCTCCTTTATTTTCTGCGGTGGAGAAAATAACTCGACGCCGAAACGGAACCTAGGGCCAAAGGGGTTAAATACGGGCTGGGTTCTTAGGTACAGGCGCGTTCTGTATTGCTTCAAAGTTCAACGGTATCGCGCACCACAAACAAAGAAAGCTTATCGCAAAAGCAAGCTTGTCGCGGAAAAGCCAAACTCTCACAAAAATTAGAGATAAATGGAAAAAAGCTGCAGCTGCTACCTACCTACACGAATGCACCCATTTCGTGACCTCCTTCACGGCGTGCAGCTGCTGTCTCACACGTGATGCAGTCTTAAGGAGGTTGAAAAAGTGTACGGACAAAAAATCACGCCGTTGGTGTCAGCGGAGTCAATTTTGGTTCATCCCCTCCCCAGCTAGGGCACTTGGGTTTTCGTCGCTTGGCAACGACGTTGTAAAACAAGCCGCCCTCCCC